TCCGTATCAAGCTACCTTGTACTAGCAGTCACTTCTGGGATGAGTCAGTCCACAGTTGCTTGTGGGTTGAAGTCAATCGGCATGGTGCGAAAGCTCGGTCGATGGGTACCTCATGCTTTGAAGCAGTATGACATGGACCGCCGCGCCGACATGGCACTTTCTCTCCCCACAGTCAAGCGCAGCCACACGTGGCCCGAGCAACTAGTCACCGGAAATGATAAGAAAATCCTTTACTCTAACGTTCACCGGCGTGCTTAATGGGTTGACAAAGGTGCGGATGCAGAAGACTTCTCTAAACCGAACGGGCGCGCCAAGAAGGTTATGCTTGCATCAGGTGGAGCATTCACGGTGTCGAATACTGGGAGCTGCTAGGCGAAGGATGTACAGTGACCGCAGACCGGTCCACATAAGGCAACTAAAGAATTTGAAGGCGAATCTCGAAGCTACACTTCCACAGCAGCAAAAAGTTTAGTTCCAACACATTCGCTCGGCCGCACATTGCAAGAAAGACCAAAACAGAAGTAATGAATTTTAATTAATTAATCGGCTAGACAACTACCACACTCACCATATTCCCCAGACTTGGCTTTCTCGGATCGGATATCCATCTTTTTCCTAACTTTAACGTTATCTGGGTTAAGACTTTTAAACTAGCGACGACATCAAAATTGCACTCGAGCAGTTCTTCAAGGGCCAGCCCCCAACGTTCTGAAGCAAAGGCATCTACGAGCTGCCTAAGCGTTGGCAAGAGACTATCGATGCCAATGTGGCATATTTCAAACGACTCGCTATTGTCGTTTAAAAGTTGTGAGATAAATGTAATTATTGTAAATCTGTCCGAGGACTCATGACTCAACCGAAAACCTCAGATACGTGCAATGGCCTTTGCAAGTTGGGAAGATGACTCTTTTGCAGCAAATCCAGGAGGAGATGAGCCAGGAGGAGATGAGTCCGTACATCTTGTTGCTCCTGGCAGTTAGCTTTTTGCATACTAGCCAACACGAATAATAAAAGTAATGGCATTGTTCGCAGGTGTAAGCACGGACCGTTACTGCTGACTAGTCACAGTGGGATAACAAACAATTCTGCAGGGTTCCCAGAATTACCACCGAAATTCGAAATCAGGATAAATTAAATAATCCAATTATTTGATTTCATGAACCATTAACTAGTTGCATAAATAGGCTTTCTTGCAGCCTGCGGAAGGCTGTGAAGTCTCACTGCCACTTGCGACATTTTACATGCAGCAGAAGGGAGGACATTGTGAAATACTTGTTCTTCCAGCAATGACCGTACACTAGGCAACCAAACGATAAAGAGCAGCAGAAACAATTAAAGAAAAACTCTTTAGGTGTACAAATGACAGTGTTTCCAGAGATAAATGGCTGAAATGGTCCGTCCGCGAGTCGATCGTACTTTTATTTAATTCATCACAAGGATCGCTTCGGAACTGGATGTATCGTAGTTGTTGTTGCGGCAAATCGTCAAGCGAAGGCTTTATCATTGCTATAGTGTGCAGATTTGCCAAGTCATCCAAACAAACAGTACATAGTCAAAAAACAGAAAGTTCTTGTCTCGCTCAAGTGAAGGCACGCTTCTCTTCATAGTTTCTTTCTGAAGAGAAACTTCATGCAATAGAGTCAATCTTCAACAAACAAATTTTACTCAGAAACGAAAGCGATCGTCTTTCCAGAAAGAAAAGCACTATCCCTCCACAAAAAGTTGTTATAAGAACAGCAAAATGATGGACTAGAAGGCACACAGGGGACACTTTTTCCTCAGTACCGGCTAGAAAATGACAGAGACGTGCACATAAAGAACCAACTAATGGACGAACTTAAGTTTTGATCCGATTCCGTTTTTGAAAAAGCCCGAAGTCGTCCTCCTGCACGTCAGCCCACAGAGGCAAGTACGCCCTATACTGGTGTCAAAGGCACTTGCTCGACTTCACCGAGAGATGGCCATCCTGTCCTCAGGTCTCAATTTACTTGACTGCTCCTGAAGGAAAGAAGAAGGGGAACACGCCTATTTTGCCATTCCAGTTTCGAGACTCGGAAGCAATGCTGAAGAGCGGCTGGAAAGAAATGGAAGAGGTGTACCGGCGAGACTTTGAGATCAGACTTAAGGCTGTATTCTCACTTTCGAAGGAAATTCGGAATTGTGGTTGTAGGGTGTCAGTGCACTTAATCTAAGCAGAGTGTATGTAGATTCCATTGTTATTCTTGACTCAGAAGCTTGGAATACATTGCAATAAATTCCACAATAATTTCGGGACATCCAGTTCGCCTCTACCACTAGATTCCTTTAGAAAATCGATTACTTGCAGCTGATCTGCCTATTCGTGGATGAGCTGCGCTTAACCATCCTCGGGCTTTCTTTCGGACGTAGTGGATGAGCTGGTGAATTTGGTACTCGTTTTTTCTACTCACATTGAAATGTTGAACTACTTTCTGATGATGCCATTGGAAATCAACCCAAATGCAACAAGAAACTCCGAACGGGTTCAGACTTACAACTTTGCCTTCCGTTGGGGAACTTTTTCGTGTACGAATGGTCTGTTGGAGCTTCTTGAGTTCCGTGAATGGCTAACCAACAAGGTGGCAGAGAGAGATAGAGAGAGATTAAAACAAGCTATGGAAATTCTCTGTGGTCATGAGTTGCAGCTATCGTCTTCATCTATTAGTGTAAAAGGCAAAACGATCGTTATTCGTACTCTGTGCCAATGCTGATGTGGATGTTTGCAGAAGATGACCTTTTGAGACTTTCACGCATTTGAAACAATGTAGTGAGAATCCAGCATTTCAAAGAATCACCAATTTATTCGCCTACTAGGACACCGGAAACCTACACCACTCATTTCCCAGGCAACGGTTCTAGTGGTATGTCGAGACGCACGGTAACCCATAAACTGCTTCAAATTCTGCACTTTACGTTGTAATCACGACAAATGTTTGATCTTTTTCTTACTGTCGTAAATGAAACGGTGCTCGCGAGCTTTCACAAAAGTAATCTTCTACAAACACCTTCATACAAGCAAAATGGGTTTCATAACGGCCACGCTGCTGTTCCGAACGAATAAAAGGAGGGCAATGCCAAGGCCTTTATCCCTGCCTCAAGTCGTCATGCTTCGCCTAGCTCTCCTTTTCAGTTTTGCCGCCTTCTCGTTGGTAAGTTGCCCATGGAAATGGGAAGCTTTCGTAGGTTTACTATCTAGAAGAAGTGTCGAAATGCCATAAATCAAGGCATGCGCTCCAACGACTAAGACGACTACGACGACTACGACATCTACGACAACCACTACGAGTAAACAAAAGCGCGCAGTTGGTCAAGCACAAGTTACTTTGCTAACCCATCAGGATTTTGATGCAAACATGATTCCTGCTTACTTGAAGGTCGTCAGATCTGCGGTAAGTAATCGAGTACAGAGAGGTATCTAGGTGATGCGGCTACGGAACTACTTGTTGTTTTGCTGAACATCTAATTAATTCAGATTGAGCAACATGCAAAAAACCAAAATNGACGAGAAGACTGAGAACATCAATGGAAAATTCGGTGTCGTCTACACCATCCTCGGTGTGGACTGTGATAAGGTGGTAACTATATTAGCTATTTCACTGTTACGCAGTTTTTATGAGAGCAAAAGTCGAACCATGCGCAAGCGCTTAGAGTAGCGAACCGGATAAAGCACAGCTAAAGGATTTCCTGTCAGGATTTAGGTTTGCTATTAGTTCGAGCTGGAGAGGGAGTACGGTTGTCTGGAAAAGCTGTGATAATGTTGGGAACATAATCTATCAGTCCCGAAGGAAAACTGCGAGCCCCTCGGTTTGCAACTATAGAAGATTTCTAGGGCCTAATTAATAGAAACCACGTGTACAAAAATGGAAAGAAAAAGAGACCGGGGAAAGCAGGATACCTTCCAAGGATTACTTTAGCTATCATAACTTCACCCGCATCATGAATTGTATCTTTCATTTTAATATTGCAGGTTTCTATGGTTATTATTTTTTAGCTGAGTAATTTCATAACGGCTGCAAAAGGGCTATCGACATTCACAAAACAAATCACCATCAATTGTGGAGGCAAAACAACAGTTCTGCCGCTTCAGGATTGAGACGATTCACAGGAATAAATGTTCGTCAGTGCTAATGTTAAGGTTGAACAGCACCAAAGCATCTATTTTCTAGAGCTATTGAGGTTCCATAAGGTAAATGTCAAGAAAGACAGTGAGGAATCCACAGAAGAGCCTGAAGACGTCCTAGGGACGATGAATTGGTTAACACTCCTTTGGATTCTTCGCGAATTTTTGCTACGAAACTTTTAATGCAGGCGGTTCCCTGCTACGTATATTTGGCAGTAAAGCACTGAGGATGGAAATATTTGCGAATGCCGTTAGACTCCTGTCTTTTCTCCTTCTACAATTTCTTTGAGGTTATGGTACATTATCTCCATCTGCCCTTCTCGAAGTACTTTCAATTGACTACAAATTCCTCCTTGGAGAAATGCATGTGCTCTTAAATCTAGAGGCTAGAAACGTCGTGAATTTAGCGTTCCGTTATGCTCATCCCAACCCCAATTGGTACCTTGACATTGCTCATCTAGCTTCAAAGACACAAATTCACTTTGAGTCCTTTTGATGTTCGAATTGCTCTTGCCGTAACTCTAGAAGCAACTGACTGTAGGACTGCCCCTCCTGTCTGTCACAGGCATGATTGGGCCCTAGTTCCGCGAGCTTCTCGCAAAATCTCATGGGATAGAATTCCCGAGCCACCCATCTCGGTACAAACTGTTGGCCGGTAAAACCCGGAGTGTAGAGCGTGATTCTTCTTCAAACTGCAGAAATAATGTTTTCAAAAGTGACTAAAAACTATGTATTGTAACTGGCTTAATATAATCTTATCCGAGCACGGGAAGGGGAGGATTTTCACCATCACAGCTAGGTAGACCAACAATATCGAAATCACGATGAAGGAGCATCAACAGGGAGCTTCAATCAAACGCTAAGTCGAATGCCGCTTTTTCTCATTGGAGGAATTATAGCCGTGACGAAGCTGGCAAAGAGGATAAATCAGACAACATGGAGAATGGGAAAAAGGAAAAGAAGTGGGGCGTGACGTTTCTATCATATGTACTAGCAATCCCCATCTCTTCTGTCAATCATTTCACATTCCTTTTATTTCCAATTAAGGCCGTACAATTTCATATCTTGTTTCTCTCATCCGGAACCTTTCGTTCATAGCCATTAGAAACAAATTTCTTAACAAATGTTCAGGAGATACAATAAAGGACAACTCGCCTGAAGCAGCAATCTGATATCTCGAAGAAAAGGTAAAATCTTGCCTGTGAATTGACCGAAATCCAAGAGTACCTGAGAATTTAAGAGTTCCATGAAGAATATGCGTACAAAGGTGGTGGGATTCACGAGATGTCGGACAATGAATATAAATGTAAAGTTCAAAAAACTAATGTAGCCTAGATGACGAACTGTATACAGTTTTATCCCACCCCACATGTACTGCTAAGTAGTTGTTTGGATCAGATATCAACAAGAGCGAAACGAACGAGAGAAAATGAATAAAAAAGGGAAAAAAAAGAAAAATGAAGGAATCACATGCTTTCGCTCAAACACCAAGGAATGCGTTCAAGAGATGCACTACACATATATCCGACCACAGGTCACTCCAAAATCGAAAAAAAAAACAAGGAGCACTTTGAAATGAAATGAATTCAAAACAAGATAAAATTTTTTCCATGCTGGACAATATAGAAATACTTGGTATAGGGCAATGCAAATAAATATAAAAGAGAGCGGGAAAGCTTCCTGCGAGACAGTGCAATGAAAGCACAGTTCTAAGTCAAACGGATCTTGCAGGTAAATGTCAGTTCGATGCATATTCCCTATGACACTCGATTTAGCGTTCCAAGCGCAAGAATAGTTAAGCTCCCATGGTCCTTTTACGGTGAGCCTCGGACGGGTGAATAATCAGCTTCAACTGAGCTGAGTGGACCCCACGCAAGCATCGATTCGGCTATCTTTTCCCGACCAAAAACGAAGTTCCGTAACGTGAAATGGTTTGGAGAATCGGCCAACCATTAGCTCCAAGAAAATGACAAATTAGCGAATGCTCGTGGAATGTGGAGCCCAGTATCTTCCAAAGAGTACCGAATTGCTTCCTTTCCAGGCCAAAGTCTAATGTACATATGAGCTATTGCTAGTTCCATCCTAAGAGTCCACAAGAAATTCGTAGAACCCATTTAAAGGTCCCATATTGTATTATATAGGGCAAACTATCGGAAATCCGCCATATTAAGTTGATGTGCATGATTATTTTAGAATTGCGAGAACGGTGCTTATTTCTGCTCGCTGACCCGAATAATCGAGAAGAGGTATACTGGCCGTTGTCAAAATCTTTCTGCATAAACATAAGAGCAGAAGAAATTTTGGCGTATCATCATAGATTTAGGTAAAGTGAAAATCCCACTATATATAACGCTCTAATGCTTTTGTGTGCGGTGTGGTGTGGTGCGGTGCGTGTGTGTGTCCTACCGGGAAGTCATAATTCCTGTCCCCACAGACCTATAGCATTCATATTGGTAGGAGTTCTGCAAGCAAGGTGGGAACACTTATGACAGGTGGCAGGACCGGACTCCGCCCACAGTGGGCGCGGTATAAACAGAAAATCATGACTTCTTTTCCACTCGACCTGAAGCGTTCAAACTTGGTTGGAGTACAAGCAGCAGGACACTTATAGTGGGTAGCAGGACCGGACTCCATCCACGCAGGAGCGGGGTTCGCACGAAAATTGTCAATTTCACACGGGCGTTCAAACTTGGTAGGAGTGGATAGGAACACCCACGGTAGGTGACACAGCCGCACTCCGCCCGGAATGGCCCAGTGGGCAGGGTTCGAACGGGAATCACCAACTTGGCTATAGGGGGTTCAAACTTGGCAGGAGTACTGGCGGCAGGATGGGAATACGGATAATAGTTGATAGGAGGACACCTCACTTAGTCACGGCACTTCATTTCGAGAGGAGAAGCACGGGAGCTCAGTTTTATCAAGCATAAATTTACAACATTAGGCCTCACAGCAATTTATGCTAGAACTACATCATTGTAAACACAACTATCCAATGTGGACTATCTATGCACTAATGAGTAAAGCTCAAATCAAAATCGTTTTCCTTTTCAAAGAACATTCCGGAGTTCTGAAAAATCAGGTAGAGGCGTGAATCGAACCCACAATACTCGCGTTAGTTCGCTATCTTTCCTTCTAGATTTCCACGATGCCCATTATTATCATTATAACATCACGAAAAAAGGGCGGTTGCTATAGTCATGTCTAAGCATTATCAGTTAATGAGTGCCAGCTGTGCTACTCTGACCGGACTCCACCCACATGGGGTGGGGTCTGCGCGAAAAATTATACCTCCCGTTCTCGTGGACCTAGAGCGTTCAAACTTGGTTGGAGTACAGGCGGCAGGACCTGAACACTTATGGCAAGCAGCGGGACCGAACTCCGCCCACAAGGGCGGGGTTTGCGCGAAATAAATATTCAAGTGAAAAATCATAACTCCTGTCCCCATAGACCTACAGCATTCAAATTTGACAGGAGTGTAGCTGGCAGGATGGGAGCACTGATGATAGGTTGTGGGACTGTATCCCGCTCTGCCGCGGCACTTCATATCGGAAGAAGCGGGGAAGCTCAGTTTCATTGAGTAAAAATATTCAACATCAAGCAAAGCAGCAATTTAAGCCAGCACTACTAGCATCGTTGTGAACACAACTATCTAATGTGGACTACCTAGGCACCAATGGGTGAAGCCAATACCAAAAACCTACGACCTCATTCAAGAACATTCCAGAGATGTGAAAGATCGTGTAGAGATTTTTGGCGTTAATCAATCCCGTCTCGGTATACGCCCGCATACGTTTCAGTCAAAACCGTGCTGACGTTTTGAATGCATATATGGCCTGTGCAATGACCTGCGTTGGTCAGCCAGCAGAATTTTCGAGTTTTAATTTTCCCAAACGAATCTGACACCAAATAACCGACTCCGCACGAATGAAAGGCTCGGTTAGCCTAGGCGGATCTCGATCCGGGATTCAAACCAGCGACCATGCGTGTGTGATAGTGCGTCTCCTGTCATTACATCAAGACCGCAATTTATAAAGTGCTCCAGGGAGATGGATAAATGTTTGGCAAAAACGAGTGCAAGAAGAGTCTGGAGTTCTTCTGGGAACTTGTTAGGAGTTCTACGCTGATTTCAAACTGAAAAAGAATCCGGAAGTGAGTAAGCACTGGCAGCCGTCTGATTTGCAAAAAAAAACTGGCAGTAGTATGTTCGTTTGCTTTGGCGGATGGCGCTCATTTTCCGAGTGTATTCAAGAGGCATGTGAATGAAGAGCATTTCTCAGTGGCATAGCTTATACTCGATCCTCTTCTATTCATCAATTTGTTCAGATTTACGGTTTTCAACTCCTTCCCAATATTAGTATTTCAGTATATATCAAAAACAGTACCTAGAAGCGCGGAAGAGATATAGCTAAGCAGTGTCGCTGAGCCCGAATGAATAAGTCATTCACCTTTCGGATTAGCATGGTATCGAACTTATTCGGAAGAATAAAAAAGGTTAAAGACGTCCGTTTTTACATCGGTTTATCCCCGTAGTCAAATATACGTAGACCCGTCGTAATTGCCTATAACCCATTCAGACGGCTCTATGAAACGGAATGGTTGTGGAAGCTCAAGCGCACAACCGATTAATCAACTCTAAGAATCCTTTATTCTTTTTCTAGTAATTCTTGAAAAAGTGCGAGAGTGTCATCGAGTGCCATCAGGCTCATGTCCGTACTCACAGTCTCATGTTTCACGCAGATACCTCTTCCATTTCGTTCTAGCGTTCTTGAGTCCAGCTTACAAAAGCTTCAAACTGGGATGGCAAAGTCAACAGATTCCCCTACTAATCAGGGACTACGCAGAAAAATTGTGTGGGTTAAGATCTGGCATACAGGATGGC